CTCTTCCCACCCCCAAAGTCTTTGCCAAGGATGCGGCGGTGGCTGGCGCCTCCTCGATAACCTTTCCGAACCTGGGGCGGCGGAGCTGCAAACGGATGAGGGTTCAGGGGTTAGGGTTTAGGGCTGCTTGGGATCCTCTTCCTGGGGGTCTGCTACATGGTCTATTTCGGATCGTTTTCTCTACTATGGCCAACCTGGGTCAGGTGATGGTTTAGGGTTTTAGGGTTTAGGGTTTAGGGTTTATGGGTTAGGGTTTAGGGTTTAGGGTTCAGGGTGTAGGGTTTAGGGTTTAGGGTGTAAAGGTTGAGGAGATGGGGGCCAGGATTGCACGAGCTTCTGTGGCTTTCGCGCTTTGGGGGTCGTGAGGGAAATTCCCGAAGCCAGAGCTGCGGGCGTTAGATCAAGGGATTAAGACTCGTACCCCTAGGTAAGGTTGTACCCCTTAAGGTTCTCCTTTTCCCCTGATACGGCCCTTATACTATCTTCAGGATCTTTACAAAGAGTCCCCAAAATCCCTCCAAAGTTGTAGGTGGTGTTTGCATTTCTTGTGTGGGCTGTTGTGGCCTTAAGCACCCAATCTTCAACTCCACATGTAGGGTTTAGGTTTACTAGGGGGTCAGGCTGTAAGGCAAGACAGGCGCAGAGTTTGCAGTCCCTTCAAACTGAAACCCGAAACTCTAAAATCCTAAACTCTGAACCCTACCCCTAAACCGTAACCCCTACCGTATGGCCAGGGCCGAAAGCCTGTCTAACTAAGCTCTAAAACCCTGGACCCTCGGAAGTTTTGGGGTTTGGGTTTGGGTTTAGGGTTTAGGGTTTAGGGTTTAGGGTTTAGGGTTTAGGGTTTAGGGTTTAGGGTTTAGGGTTTAGGGTTTAGGGTTTAGGGTTTACGGTTTAGGGCCAAAGTTTAGGGTTTAGGGGGTCCAAAACCCTAAAAACCCTTGCATCCCAAAACCATCCTCAGAAATAGAGGCACGAATTCTCCCTTTTTGAGGCCCACATACCTGGGGATCCTAAAGCCATCTTAGACCCTAGGAGTCGTGATTTTTCAGGGTTGTATAAATGCACCCCAAGCCCTAAACCCTAATCCCCTAAACCCTAAACCCTAAACCCTAAACCCTAAACCCTAAGCATCCTGAACCCTTTCAGGTATCTCTACTCCGATGGCCTCGTCAGCTCCAAGGATGGGTATGCGTCGACCTCGGGTGCATTTGGCTGGGAGTTCTTTTTGCTTGGTTCAGGGTTTAGGGTTTAGGGTTTAGGGTTCAGGGTTCAGGGTTCAGGGTTCAGGGTTTAGGGTTTAGGGTTTAGGGTTTTGGGTTCAGGGTTCAGGGTTTAGGGTTCAGGGTTCAGGGTTTAGGGTTAGGGTTTAGGGTTTCGGGTTTCGGGTAAAGGGTTTAGGGTTCCTTCGGTGTGGGGTTGTTAGATTCTAAACTCAACTCTTCTCCTCGCCCGGAACTCTTCTCCTCGCCCGGTCTACACCTAGAGACTCCCTGGAGTGCCCAACCCCAGAGACTCCCTGAAATGCCAAATTTCAGAGGCTCCCTGGAGTGCCCAACCCCAGAAATTCCCTGAAGGTGGGGATGTTCGAAGCAAAATAATTGTCTGGTCAGGGTTTAGGGTTTAGGGTTTAGGGTTTTGGGTTTAGGGTTTAGGGTTTAGGGTTTACGGTTTAGGGTTTAGGGTTTAGGGTTTAGGGTGTTAGGGTTCAGGGTTCAGGGTTCAGGGTTTAGGGTTACCGGTTTAGGGTTTCGGGTCAGCCAGTCACGTTTGACAAAAGAAGGTACCTGGGCTTTGGTGTGCAGGATTTCGGGGCTTAGGGCCCGGGGCGGTTTAGGGTTTAGGGTTTAGGGTTTAGGCGGTTTAGGGTTTAGGGTTTAGGGTTTAGGGGAGTCAGGTCCGGCCATTCGACGCCGGCGCGGATGGTACGGTCTTTGGGGACTCAGTGGCAGCGTTGGTCGTGCGGCGGCAGGAGGACTTGGGTTTAGGGTTTAGGGTTTAGGGTTTAGGGTTTAGGGTTTAGGGTTTAGGGTTTAGGGTTTAGGGTTTAGGGTTTGGGCTTTGGGGTTTAGGGTTTAGGGTTTAGGATTTGTAAGGTGGGGTATGTGGCAAGAGGGCCTCATGGGTATACTAAGTAGACTTACGAAGTCAAAAGAGCTTCTAAGCAGGGGCCGACGAGTTTTTTGGGCTTATAGGCTTAGGGGCTTAGGGGCTTAGGGGCTTTGAAGTTTTAGCACCTAAGCCCTAAGACCCAAACCCCAAGCTCCAAGCCCCAAGCCCTAGACCCTAAACCCTGAACCCCAAGCCCTAAACCCTAAGTTTAAGGTTTATAGGGTCCGGCTTAGGGCACTTGGGGCATTTTGGGGTGAACACTCATTTGCAAGCTTTGGAGCCCTTTTAAAAAGCCCAAGAACCCTGCAAACCTCAACCCGGGACCCTAAACCCTAGCCCCAAACCCTAAACCCCAGCCCTAAACCCTAAACTCCAACCCTTTAAGCTCCAGGACGTTGGGGAAGGCGGCCTCATCTACTCCGGTCTCCGGGGGTTCGCCTCGGTCTTAGACACAAGGTTTAGGGTTCACGGCCAGGTTTTCTTTGTCATAGTTGGGTAACATTTTGCATTTTTAAGGGTACTTAAGCCCAATAAGGAATATACATTTAATCTTTTAATACGATCCCAACCATGAACTAGGTTTAGGGTCTAGGGTCTAGGGTCTAGGCTCTAGGGTTTAGGGTGTCTGCACTCCTTTATTCCCCAGACAGGGTTTAGGGTTTCGGGTTTAGGGTTTGGCGTTCAGGGTTCAGGGTTCAGGGTTCAGGGTTCAGGGTTCAGGGTTCAGGGTTTGGGGAAACCGGGCCAACCACGTTTAGGGTTTGAGATTTAGCGTGTCTGGACTCCTATACGAAACCGGGTGAACCGGATTCGGGGTTCAGGGTTTAGGGTTTAGGGTTTAGGGTTTCGGGTTTAGGGTTTAGGGTTTAGGCTTGTTCCCGAAACCGGGTTTAGGATTCAGGGTTCCTGAACCAGGTTTGGGGTTTAGGGTCCCTAAACCCCAAAACCCCAAGACTGGCCCCGTTTAGGGTTTGCTTTAGGGTTTAGGGTTTAGGGTTTAGGGTTTAGGGTTTAGGGTTTAGGTTTTAGGGTTTAGGGTTTAGGGTTTACGGTTTAGGGTTTACGGTTTAGGGTTTAGGGTTTAGGGCCATGAACACCTCAGTAGATGCACCCTGGCGGAAAAGTACCGAAGCATTGCTTTGCCTAATCGAGTACCCCTACTTGAAGGTTCATGGTACATACTAACCAATTATAACTGTACTTATAACCCTACTTATATTTGGGATAACCCCTATAAGGCCCTTTAGGGGTATTATAAGTAGGGTTATAAGTACAGTTATAATTGGTTAGTAAGTACCATGAACCTTCAAGTAGACCCTCATCCCCCAAAGCTTTCTGAGCTCTCTGTTCAGCCTCTGGGTTTCTCACCTAGGGTTCAGGGTTCAGGGTTCAGGGTTTAGGGTTTAGGGTTTCGGGTTTAGGGTTTAGGGTTTTAGGGTTTAGGGTTTAGGGTTTAGGGTTTAGGGTTTAGGGTTTAGGGTTTAGGGTTTAGGGTTTAGGGTTTAGGAACCCCACGAGGAGAAATTGAGGAACACGCCCTATTCTATACTATGGGCCCCTCTGCGTTCGAGGTCTATCCTTTGCTAAGGGCACCGAATTCATCCCCAAGCCCTCAACCTGAAAAGGGCTTGCATTATTGTGCTCACAGTTCAGGGACACCATTCTTCAAGGCCATCGGGCTTGCAGCACTCTCGAACAAGACTACACCCTAAACGCTAAACCCTAAAACCCCTAAACCCTAAAACCCCTAAAACCCCTAAAACCCCTAACCCCTAAACCCTAAACCCTAAACCCTAAACCCTAAACCCTAAACCCTAAACCCTAAACCCTAAACCCTAAACCCTAAACCCTAAACCCTAAACCCTAACCCGAGACCCTGAATCCTAGAAAGCCCCAAAGCTTCCCCTCCAAAGGCCGTCAGCAACGACGGGGCACAGAAGGCCACCCACCCGAGTAGGGTTTGGGGTTTAGGGTAGGCCTTGTGGGTTGGGGGGTTTAGATGTTTGGGGTCCTGGTCCTCGAGGGTTTTGGAGCTGAGGCGTTGGGGTTCAGGGTTTGCGAGTCTAGGGTTCATGGACTCAGCGTTTGGATTTTTGGCCCGACTTGCCGGGTGGGAACAGATTCGTGTGTAGATGAAGGGGTTGGTCTTGGTTGTGGGAGTACAGCAATTCCCACTGCGGCGTCGCGCTCAATAGAGACCCAGACCCCTAAACCCTAAACCCTAAGCCCTAAACCTTAAACCCTAAACCCTAAACCCTAAACCCTACACTTTAAACCCTAAACCCTAAACCCTAAACCCTAAACCCTACACTTTAAACCCTAAACCCTAAACCCTAAACCCTAAACCCTAAACCCTAAACCCTAAACCCTAAACCCTAAACCCTAAACCCTAAACCCTGAACCCTGAACCCTAAACCCTAGACCCTAAACCCTAAACCCTGAACCCTAAACACACACTTATCTTTCTCTCCCTATAATCTGAATCCGAGCCGCGAGGCTGGCTACGCAGCGCCTTCGTCCTCTGGTCATCGCCTTAGGAGTTGGACTGCAGAGCCCGGTGTCTGCAGCATGTTTTTTGTTTGTTTTTGTTTTGTTTTTTGTTTTTTAATAGTAGGTTTAGGGTTTAGGGTTTAAGGTTTAGGGTTTAGGGTTTAGGGTTTAGGGTTCAGGGTTTAGGGTTTAGGGTTAGGGTTTAGGGTGTGGTTTAGGGTGTAGCTTTTCGGGTTTAGGGTGGAGGGCTTAGGGTTTAGGGTCCCTCTCTCCTGAACCCTACACCCTAAACCCTAGCGCTCCGGTCTGGCGCTGACGCTTTCAACCCCTAATTAATCTCCGAAGCCTACGGTTCTCCGGGGGTGGGTTTGAACAGGTGGGGCTTCGTGGGTGCTTCCATGAGCATGCACCAGGAGGAGCAGAAAGAGAAGAGGCAACGGACCAATGAGGAGCAGTTTAGCGTTTAGGGTTTAGGATTAGGGGTTTAGGGTTTAGGGTTTAGGAGGAAGGAAGAGGGGCGTGTTGAAGTTCCAGTGGAACACGTTGGACCTGATCCCTGTGTCCGCGGACATCGCGAGGCGAGAGACGCACAAGATGACAGCTGCAGGCGCCAAGCGAAGGACGAAAACAGCCGTGGTCGCAGCTGTCCAGGATCTCTGGGCCATTCGGGTTTAGGGTTTAGGGCTTAGGGTTTAAGGTTTAGGGTTGAGGGTTTAGGGCTTAGGGTGATCATCATACCCGGAGCCGCTGGCCATGGCGAGCAAGAGCTCCACGTACGTTTCCAAAGCCATCGGGTTTCTTGGTCAGCCTTTATAGGGCCCTCGAGGGTTCAGGGCTGATAATGTGGGATTTCAAGTTTAGGGTTTGGGGTTTGGGGTTTAGGGTTTAGGGTTTAGGGTTTGGTTTAGGGTTTTTGGTCCCAGAACCTGAAGCCCTCAGCTCAGGCCAAGCCAGGGCCATCCAGGTCGCCATGAACATGCTTGGTGAGGAGCTGCCGAGGTTTGAAGGTTGCGGGGTTTTGCACTGTCACCCTAAACCCTAAACCCTAAACCCTAGACCCTAGACCCTAAACCCTAAACCCTAAACCCTAAACCCTAAACCCTAAACCCTAAACCCTAAACCAATCTAAACCTTAGGGAAGCACGCTTCTGGAGGTCTGGCGTTTAGGGCTTCTGGGCGCAGTCGCGGAGCTGCAGGGTGGACCCTAAAATGCTAAACCCTAAACCCTAGACCCTAAACTAAGCCCTAAACCCTAAACCCTAAACCCTACACCCTACACCCTAAACCCTAAACCCTAAACCCTAAACCCTGAACCCTGAACCCTGAACCCTACACCCTAAACCCTAAGCCCTAAACCCTAAACCCTAAACCCTAAACTAAACTTTAACCTCAAATCTTAACGCTCGCAGGACCCCTGGTCCATCTCCTACGTCGAGTGCCACTGCACGGGCACGCGGATAGGAGACGGCATTGAGGCCGTCGGCTTAGGGTTTACGGTTTAGGGTTTGGGGTTTAGGGTTTAGGGTATTTAGGGCGGTTTAAGGTTGTAGAGTTTGGGGCTCAGGCATTCCTGCAGAAGACCTAGTCCTCGTAGGTTCCTAGCTGTGTGGAGGGCCAAGGGTTTGGGGTACTTGCATGGTCCCTTAACCAACTGCCTCCTGGTTTGCGGACCTTGGGTCCACAAAACCAACACCACTGGTTGCAGCAACGTATGCTTCCCCACCTAGATGCTACGCTGGGTCCAGACCCAAAGCAGGCAAAGGGGACAACGGCTTCGTGTCTCTGGTGTCAGCCAATGAGCTCTTGAAGCTAGGACAAGCCCTACTGAGAAAAGCGCAAAGGGTTCGCGGCAGCCGATCAATGGGTGGGCCAGGGCCTGGGCTTCTACCAAGCTCTTACAAACTCTGACCTCCTTGAGCAAGTTTTTCAACCGACGTCCTCCAATCGACCGGGTGACGAGCGAGCTCTTCGCTGCTTGGTCAGCCCTTTGGCTCCTGGCCTCGCACCCTGGCTGTCAGATCTCGAGATCACGTCCCATGTGACCAGACCAGGGGCCCTCCAAGACAGAGAAGGGTGGCCAGTCTACCCCTTCTACGCAGCGGAGAAGGTGGCTGTAGTGCTTGCTCACCAGCACGAAGGTGTTCTGTGGCCGCACGCCATACTTACAGATTTGCGCCGCCTCACCAGGGCAAAGGGACCTGACTACTGGGCTGGGAGCAATCATGGACCCTGAAGCCGAAACTCAAAACCCCCTAAACCCAAACCCGAACTCGCCTTAAGCCGGCAGCCTACGGGCGTAGTCGGCTTCCCATTGCTTCCGATGGGGGTGCGTTTGATGTTTTTGTTACAACGACGAACTGCAGCAGGGCATGCTTCGCCTTGAGGTGTACCCTGACCACAAGCGTGCTACGAAATTCCAACTTTCGCTTGCTTTTATCTCCAACACATTTCTTCATTAACGTTACGGTTGCCACTGGTATTTAGCACTCATACCAATGAAGAAGTTGCATTGAGTGTTTGGCTTACTTTGTCAGAAGAAATGCAATGAAACCCTAGACCCTAGACCCTAAACCCTAAACCCCAAAACCCTAAACCCCAAAACCCTAAACCCAAAATCGAAAACCCTAAACCCAAAATCCAAAACCCTAAACCCTAAACCCTAAACCCTAAACCCTAGACCCTATACCCTAGACCCTAAACCCTAAACCCTAAGCATTGAGGCCAGAAGTGCTCTTGGAGTTGAGGGTCAGGGCTTAGAGCTGCTTAGGGTTCAGAGTTTATGCGCAACACTTCCTCAACAAAGGTTTCGTTTTTTAGTTTCTAAACCCTAAACCCTAAACCCTAAACCCTAAACCCTAAACCCTCAACCCTCAACCCTAAACCCTAAACCCTAAACCCTAAACCCTAAACCCTAAACCCTAAACCCTAAACCCTAAACCCTAAACCCTAAACCCTAAACCCTAAACCTAAACCCTAAACCTTTAAAAGCACCTTCACAGATCCACGGTCTGCTCAGCGCCTTCGAAAACGTGGGCGGCCGCAAGCAGGCTCCTTCTCAGAGCTGCCTTTGCAGGTTTAGGGTTTGGGGTTTAGGGTTAAGGTTTAGGGTTTAGGGTTTAGGGTTTAGGGTTTAGGGTTTAGGGTTTAGGGCTTAGGGTTTAGGGTTTAGGGCGTGAACGGCCCGGGGATTCCAGGATGTTGGGGTTTTGGGCTATTTGGGAGGAGGGTTCTGTGCTCTTGGAGCTGACAGTCTAGGCTTAGAGTTTGTGTGGAGGGCTTTGCATTCTTAGAGCTGAAAGTCTAGGCTTAGAGTGCGGTTTTTTTTTGGGTTTAAGCTTTCTTTGAATTTCCGGGCATGGGCCCTTCTCAGTGTCAAACCCATAGACTCGAGAACCTCAACCTCAACTGGTGGTTCACTCCTCTCTTAGTGCAGGCGAACAGTGACACACCAGTTGCGCAGGGCGCTCGGAGAGGGGTTTCGGGTTGTTGGGTTTAGGGCGTTGAGAGAGAGAGAGGCAGAGACATAATATATATATATATATATAAACTATAAGGAAAGCTATATATTATAAATAGATATGTACATATAAGATATGAGAGTGACAGAAGAAAAGCAAAAGAGAGGGATGGTTTGGGGCTGGAATCAAAAAAAGGCATAAGGGCAGAGAAAGCCGGTAGCGAGACCATCAGGAACCCGACAGTCTTCGAAAGCCCTTAACACTGTTCCAACGGGGGGGCTGGTGGTTTAGGGTTTAGGGTTGAGGGTTCAGGGTTTAGGGTTTAACGCAGTTTAGAGTTTAGGGTTTAGGGTTTAGGGTTTAGGGTACGATTGGAAACGACCTGCACCCAGACCTCGCCTCGAGCTTATCACTGAGTCTTGACTGCTCGGCGCGAACTTCGATGCAAAAAGCTCGACGTCCACGATGCACACTTCATGGGTTCCCCTACTACAATCTGGCTCCCTGTTTTGATTGCCCGGATTCTTCCAGAGCACAACGTTGGCCTTCTGGAGATCGTTGCCGCCGAACGGCCTGAAATCGAAATCGTCAAGCAGTGTTCCTGTTTACTCTAAACCCGGAACCCTCCAACCCTGCCGAGCTTTAAAACCCTGCAAACCCCAAAACCCTAAAGCCCTAAGACCCTAAAAGCACAAATCTATCAAACCTGCACTGCAAACCCTCAAGCGCAAGGGTTTAGGGTTTAGGTTTTGGGGAAATCGATCCAAAACATTCAACCCCCGCACCCGTTCCCCTTAGGTTGGACATTGTCATATGAATGTAGTGAGGGAGTATTCTCCCTTTGTTGGGTAGAAGATGGTCTTATTCCTCGGAAATCCTACAATAGTCTTGAAGCACCCGAAGCAACCTTAAAAGCCCTACTCAACGCCGAACGAACCCTGCAACGTGCAAGGAGCCTAAAACAGCCTGATGACCCTGAGATCTCTCGGTCATCTTAAAGACTCTAACCCCCGAAACCCCTACACTTGGGGTCTGGGGTTTAAGATTAGGGCGAGGGTTTGGGCTTCAGGGCTTGGAGTTTAGGGTTTAGCGCCTAAAACCCTAAACCCTCAACCCTAAAGCCTGAGCCCCCCACCCCGCCAAAGGCTCGGCTCTGTGAAGGGCAACATCGCACACGCGAACTGCGCGGCAGGGGCGACCGGCCTGATCAAGGCCCGAGTCTACGGTTTAGAGGGTTTAGGGTTTAGGGTGTATAGGGTTTAGAGTATGATTAGGCTTTAGGAGTTACGGGGCGTATGTCGTTTTGGGTTTTTTTTATCTAGGCATTGGGGATTTTTGAATTTTGTTCAGTTTTTAGGGTTTGCGTCCGGGTTTTGGTACGGGTTTTGTTTAGGGCTTTGGGCGTTTTGGGGTTAATTATGGGCTTGAAGGACGGTTTTGGTTTTTTGCAGGGTTGTTGGGGGCTGCGGGGCCCCACAACCACAATGATCCTTCTGCCTAGCCCCAAAACAACCTAAATCCTCAAAACTCCCGAAGCCCTAAAGCCCGAACCCCCGCAACCCCAAAACTTCAGGGGATCATGTTGTCATGTTTCGGGGCATTTTTGCGTTTAGGGTTTAGGGTTTGCTCCTGTTTTTGGTCGACAGTGTGTGAAGATGAGTCACTGGGCCAGAGCATTCCAAGCATGTGTTTAGTTTAGGGTTTGGGTTTAGAGTGCAGGGTTTGGGGTTTGGGGAACGGTTTGGGGTTTAGGGTTTAGGGTGTTATGGTTGGAAAGCGTCTAGCTACGTCCGGTAAGCCCTTAATAGTAGACAGGTGCACCTTGTACTAACAGTCCTTTAATAGGGATTGTAGTACCTCCCCCCCCCCCCTATTTAAAATGCCTATTAAGGACTGTTAGCTAACAAGGGGGAACATCCCAAGCAGACAGGTTTGGTCGCACGGGCACACAACTCGAGCCGTTTAGGGTGGAGGTTTGGAGCAAACAAAACGCTAAGACGAGAGCCGGAAGATGATAGCACACCCCCCAGCCCTCAAGCCCCCGCAAAAAGGATTAGGGTTTAGGGTTTTGGGTTTAGGGTTCAGGGTTTTGAAAACAAGTGCTAGATCCTGAGCAAAACACCTAGAGGTCTAAGACCCTCAACCCTCAGCATGTGCAAATCTGGATCTAGGTTCAGGGTGTCCTCAACCCTGAACCCCCAAACTCTGCCTTGAGCATATGGGAGTTGCTCTGAAAGGCCTCTTTATCTAAACTGGGTCAAATACAGTTTCCGCGCAGTGGTGCCGCCCGATATGTTTGTAGTCCCCCTTTCTGAACCCTAATTAGGCCACCAAAAACCTAAACCCCCAACCCGCAAGTAAGCCCAAACTAGGACCCAGAGTCGACCCTTATTCCCCTTTTTTTCTTGCCCCTTGTAACCCCCTTTATACCAACAAAGGACGCCCTTTTCTCTTATCCCCTGTAACCCCCTTTATACCAACAAAGGATCGCCCTTTTTTTTCCTTTGCTATTTATTCCTGGGTCTGGCAAATGTCGAGCTCCAACCTCGCTTTGCCAGTGCCTGTTCTCAAGGCCCTGGCCATGATGCAAGCTCGGAGCATGGCCGGGGCACCCGGCGACCCAGGGCTTTCGGACCCTAAACCCTAAACCCTAAACCCTAAACCCTAAACCCTAAACCCTAAACCCTGAGCCCTCCCTGTCAGACAATTGGAGCGAAAGGAAAAGGCTTGGGCCTACTTTTGCAAATTACGCTCGGATGCTCAGTAGTACTCTTACAGGCTTTTTGGGGGGCATACAGGGGTTTGGGTGGTGTTGAGCATTGAGAGTATACTGGATTGAAAGAAGATGCGGACATGGCCTTGGGCAGTTTGCCATCCGTTCATGTCATCGGGGAATGAGATGGGGGGGTGCAATAAGTTCGAGATCGCTTATGCTTTCAAAGAAGCTGGCGTCTTCATGCAGAGTCAGCTGGCGTCTTCATGCAGAGTCAGATGTATCCCATAGCTGTGAAGTTGCCGACTCGGAACGATGGAACGAGATCCTT